CTCTCCCTACGGAGGCAAGTTCTGCCACCTCCAATATCTCGGATGAGGCCGTATATCCCCTTACTTTTTTACCCCCATTTGGGTCTAACTGGAGAAAACAAAGAGCGGTCGACGAGTTGCCGCAGACCTGGTACCAAGAGTACCAGGAACTGTATATGGTCCGACTCAGCGAGCTCTTTGATTTCGAAGCCTACGCCTGTGGTCCTCAGGACGAGGAAGGGAAGGGGTTGAGCTAAGGAGGTAGGACGTTATGCCAAGATTTGGGGGCCGCCCGGAAGGAAGGGGGGGAGAAGGGGGGGAGAAGGGGGGGGGAGGGGCTCCCAGAGCGAGCGGAGGAGGTGAACATAATGTTAGAGGTATTAGTGTAGAGGTCAGAGCGGAATGAGGAAGGGGGGCTGGGAAGTAGCTACAAGCCTAGATGTTGGGATGTAGGGTAGACCTGTGACATGGGCAGGACGCCCGCCGGATGCTGCATGCACAAAGTTCGAAAAAAAAATAATAAAAAGAAGTTATGCTTCGCGGGTACCCAGTTAAAGAATACTACAGAGGATACGCATGCCGCCGAACCTTCTTCTCTGAAACAAGCGCCAGTCACCCCGCACCGGTTTTGAGTCGAGCTTGGAAGACGGAAGTACCATGTCTCGCCGGTTGGGCCACAGAATAGCGTGCGTTAGTTTATCGGGGATGTGACAAGGGTCCCTAGCGGCAGCATGGTTACCAAGTTCTACCGGCCCTAGGCTTGTTTCGAAGCCGAATGTAACCTGAGGTGCCGTGCCACTTGTCAGTGTTTTCGTTCAGCCTCTGACTCGACGCTGAAGGCTGTAGCTAACGGAGTACATACCCAGAGACCTCGACAATCCTCTTGAGGTTAAGGATATTTACGAGTCAACCTTCGTGACGCGGTTTTATTTTGGAAAGGTGAAAGGCGGGGAGGGAGGGGCTTTAGATTGAGCAATAAATCTGGTAGGACTGTATGTATCTTAGAATTCCGAACCATCCAGCCGATCACGTTGTTAACCCTCGAATGGCGCGTAATGTTGGGTCTCATCAGCGTCTGAAGCGCCCTAATACTACGACAGAGCAACCGAAGCTCTCCCCAAGCATCAGGCCGCGTCCAGTCGACTTCGCAACTACAACGCGTATTTATATTGTCCACATAATTCGTTAATTCCATTAGCCACGGGTATTCTTGCCGACCAAACGATCCAGTCATGAAAGGCCGTAGTACTGGAGTGTATCGAGCTGTTTGTTCCAGCGCCACAGCTAACACAGGGCCCTTTGTTCGCTCCAGCCACCAAAGGCCGCACGAGTAGCTTCTCACACACCAGTCCTCCTTTCCCAGAAGAACAATGAATTGGATTTCCTGGTGATGGGGATATTATGGGGACTAAGCTAGGTATATATTTTCTGTCTCTCCATACATCCTGCGGTTCAAAGTTTCACTTTATCACCACCTTCGTTCCCACGAGCATACCCAAGATCACGGAAACCCTCAGTCACCCACCTCCCTTGCGGGGATTTCAGTGACATAATGACTCCAACCCTGCCCACGAAACCCCACCCCCCTCGATACGACTTCACCATCCTCCCGATCCGCCCCATTGCCGCTCGCGCCCAACATGGCTCAGACGGCTACGCTGAGCTCATAACCGTCGCCTCTCTGCTCGGATTCATCATTGTCGTCCTCCTAATATTCCTCTGCGTCAACTTCCAGCGCCTAAAGGAGACCGAGCGTGCCCTCGCCGAATACGAGGGCATCAAGCGTGCGACTAGATACCTCCCCACCATCGCGGAGGACGGCGGGCCCGGCGCATCCTCATCTCGACAGGCGCCGTCCATCGAAGACCTGCGGAGCGCCAAGCCGCTTCGAAGCCCTGCTGATCCGAGCCAGCAATACAACCCCTTCACGAAGGACGGGAATTGGCGACACAGTGACCAGCTCAAATCTCCGAGCTGGGCCAGGAAATTGGTCCCGGAATCCAACAAGAATCTGAAGGACGAGATGCAGGCGGCTGAAGATGACCTCGGGTCTCTGGCGTCGGATTCGGATGATGGCAGGTCGGGTATCCGTCTGGTTCCTCTTAGTCGTACCCGTGGACGGTCGTTGACGAAACGGGAGGTGGGGCCCATCCGATGACCAATGGGGGTAGGTAATCAGTATCATGGCTGCCCGCCTGGTTACTGTGTCAGGATTTAAATGACGTTGACATTTGTGATTAATTTTTCTCGATGTTTTTGACGCAGCTGTATGATGTCTTGTTCTGGAAACCAGAAGAAAGACGGCGGAGATTGCTTATTGTTTCCCAGTCCTGGAGGGTCGACGGGTCTACTGGCTACGAGAACCGATACGGGCTTGTATTATCCCCGGATTAGTTGGAAGATGAATCCCTGCGGCTTTAGACACGTTCACCAGTCCCAGCACAATATGATTATCGCGTACGTGCGTTAGAACAATTCTTGATATTCCATGCTGTTCGAACTAAATGAAAATGCAATACAAAATATAGTGGGTGATGCGAGCCCATGCAGGAACTGTCTACATTACGAGTCGGTTACCATGGTACTTGGGCGTGTAGGCCCTGCTCTCGCTGAGCATGGACACCTCGGAGGGCGTCCTCGTTGGGAACCCGTCGAAGGACTTGGCATAGGTGGCGACGGAGTGCGCGATGAGCTAGAAATATCCCCCATGTTAGCTTTCCTAGGAATAATGGGGTTGAAGGGATCTGCCGTGTCCACTCACCTTGGTGTTGACTTCCCAAGCAGTCATGTTGACGTTCCCAAGATCATCGCAGAGCTGATGATAGCAAGGATCATACCAGTCTCCCGCCTTGCCCCCAAATAGACCAACCTCCTCATCCGTCTTGACACCCTCGGCCCCAGTGGCAATCCCACCTCCGGGGATCCCATTCCTGATGAACCCATCGTAATCGCTGCGCCCATCAAAGGGGATAAACGTATAGTTTAGCCCCTGTTCCTCATACCAGTTCACGTAAAGGTCTCGCAGTTCCTCGGACCCCACCGGGTTTACCGCATTGGTCGCGTTGTAAATCTGGTACGCAAAGTTGGGGCTCGCCATCATGTCGTAGTCCATGAACAGCCGAATCTTGAGGTTCTCCTCCGCCGGGAGCTGAGCCACGTAATAGTCCGAGCCGAGAAGGCCCTCCTCCTCCGCAGACCACCACGCGAATCGGACGCAGTTGTTCACCTCGAACTTGGCAAGCTGCGTCGCGACCTCGAGGAGGGAGATGGTCCCCGAGCCGTCGTCGTTGATGCCGGGGCCCTCGCCCACACTGTCGCTGTGGCCACCTAGCATGACGCAGTTCTCCGGGTCGCCGCCCTTCGTCTGCGCGAGGACGTTGTTCGTGGTAATGGTGTTCACGACCGAGTCGATGTACGCGATGCCGTCGAGATGTTTCCCCTGCTCGAGCTCAGCCACGTACGGCTCAGCCTCCTCCTTAGAAAGTCCAAACGTCGCGACATGATCAGGCTGAGGTGTCCCCAGGGTTCCGCTCATGGAGCCGGGCTCGTTGTTGTAAATTACGGCTGCGATGGCGCCAGCTTTGCCCGCTAGCGCCGACTTGTCGCCAAAGGGACACTCGCCACGGCGGATGAGGGCGATGGAGCCCTCAACGGCATGGGGGAAGTCGGAGGCCTGGCACCCGTTGTTGGCCACGAGGGAGAACTTGCCGAAGACGGGCTCCCTACCCTTAGTAGGCGGGGTAAGGCCCATGGGGGTTGCGGACGCGGGAACCTCTTGACCGATGACGAGACGGGACTCGTAGATGCCGCCCGAGACGGCGGGGAAGGGCTGCGAGGAGACGGTGTAGTAGTCGCCGAGCTCGGCCAAGACGGCGTGGATATACGCTAGTGTTCCGTTGTGCCCTGGGACCAAAGGTGAGCCAATGCGACGCGGGGGGGGGTTGGTCTCGGAGATGGCCGAGTACGGGGGGTGAGTCACTTACCCGCACTACCGATGACCCTCGTGGGGTGATTGTGCTCATCCTCCGATAGTTTCGCAATCGCGTACAGCTTCCTCGCCCTTTCCATCAGGTTCTCGGGCCTAATTGTGTCTTGAAGCTCCTTCGAGTCGACAATCTTTCCCTTGGCTGAAGTGCCAGCAGGAGCAGCATGACCGGGCTCACCATGGAGGGGGATCTGCGAGTCGTAGGCCGCCGCGGCGGCGAGCCCGGCATAGCCAGCAAGAGGGAGAAGTTTCATTTTGTCGATGAAAAGCGATGTGTGATAGGAGAAGAGGATAAAGATGAGGAGGAGGGGGGGAAAGCTCGCGATAAAGTACTTCGGTGTGACTGGTGGCGTTCGGTTGTTGAGCGGATGGTTGAAACAGGCGTGTGACCCCAGGCGGGTAATTGGTCATCCATCGCTTCTCAGGTGGGACCGTGGTGGGGCGAGGCGGAAGGCTGGTGCCTGCATGCCTGTGCCTGGTCCCTGACAAATGACGGCATACTTCCCGATAAGTGATAACGCTGGCAGGCCAACACGTATTCTTGCCTCAGGCACCGAGACTGTGGAGTAACGTCGGCTGACGACAAGCAAGCGAACAGACAGACAAAGACGGACGAGCATGTCAACGACGGATGAGAATAATAGTCCTTTTTCTACAATTATTTAAGCGAACTATGTATTTTTGGTGGTCTCAACATGCGTAATCACCATTATCGATGTTTCGCGACTTCAGGTGCTGGAAGAAGCCGCTCCACAGGCCCCAGAACTTGATTCCTGCCCGATGACTTGGGAGACATCGGAGGCTCCCCTTCTCTCCACAAAGGCGCATCTCAATCCCCACCTTTCTGGTGCTGACGTCTTTAGTAAAAATTCCACTTATGAACCGGCGAGGTTTAGAAGATGCAGGTTTCGAGCCCCAGATCTGAGAGCATTGGCTGGCTGCTGTTTCCACAAAACCCGCGTACCAGTGGGACGGCCGCCACCAGGTCCCAACCATTCAAATTCCGAAGCCCGCGCCGCCTTGGTTAATAGCAAGTGGCCACTTGGTCTAGTGGTACGATTCCTGCTTTGGGCCATCAATGGCAACCTGCAGGAGGTCCCGAGTTCGAACCTCGGAGTGGCCCTACGTTTCTAGTTTTGCTACCCAACCGAACCACACGAACCAACCAACCCACCTTGTCTTCCCTTTTAATGGGATTTGAATCCGCCTTGGCAGATATTCCGCCACCATCCTACCCATTAACAATATGATTTTATAGCGTTTGTTTCGTTGGTATTTTTTTTCTGTCTGGGTGGACCCAGTGCCTCACCGCCTTTCCGCCTTGCTAGTTTGTCCCTAGGTATCAACGCCACCGGGCTCAATAAAGTTCTCTCTCTTTCTTGCCCTCTGGAATGCATTTGCCATAGCAGAGGGGGTTTTCGCACCGCTAATACTACCGCTGTTCTTTCCGATTATATTTGAGGTGGACAGTAATGAGCGTCAGTAGCTGGTCGGTCAATGGCCTTGCTCAATGTGCACCGGGCATGTTGGACCTGCTTTCCTCGGTATACCAGATCCAAGATACACCAATATACCACGTCCTCAGCTCAAGTAGCTTTAGTAGGGATTTTGTCATGCATGATGTTCATTGGCAGAGTTTGGAATCGGGTTGAAGGTAGCAGATCGTATTGCCAAGTTTGGCAAAAAGGTTCGGGTCAGCTTTGTGAAATTAATTCTGGGGGTATTCACCAAGGCTGGCCGGCCAGCACACTAGCAGGCAGACTTAAACAGAAGAACTTGCATATCCTTAGGATAGAGAGGGAATGAGAGAGTATACGTGGTTTTGATCCGATGGCGGGATTAATGTTGACGTTGATGAGGTGTGCCCGCGTGACTCTATTCCAAGTATGTTCGTTCTGTTTAGGTTTGCAGGAGTTGTTAAAGCTAAGAAAAAGGGTTTCCTTGGTTATTTTGTTGACTTGTACTACAGTTTGAACGTGTATACCTGTCATATTTGGCTATAGATGCTCTGATCACCACTCTTTCCTCTTCAGTGGTCTCGGCGGTATGACCATGACCATTGACCCCCCAATGAACCTATCACCCATTAAGACAGGCGATTTATTAGCATCTTTTTCCTTTGCAAAAAAAAAGTTATGCAGTATAATTAATACCTACTTATCATTTGGAACCGCAGCCAATATTTTCAAAAGCATGCACACTCTGCTGACTTACCAGCTGCCCCCTCTCACCACTTGGCCGAGATAACGAATACGGGATGTGCTGCAAGGCTCAAATGGGATTAATGTGTCGATATTGCAGGAACACGAGTAGGTTTGTGGCTTCATTTGGCAGAAATACAAATGTGAACGATGAACTCAAAATAAATTATCCCTTTCCTTAACCCTTGGTCAACTACAGTTGGTGACAAGGTGTGTTAGACCTCTGAAAATATTGGTTGATATTTCCTATATACCCCAGACTAAGTATTTCAATGTGGACCCACCCTAGATATCATGGAGGTCAATTTTAATATTCTGGGGAGGGTGACACCTCCTGTTCTGGGGAAGGTGACACATCCTCTTCTGCGGAAGGCTCCTCCGGGGAAGCCTCTTCTGCGGAAGCCTCTTCTGCGGAAGCTTCTTCTGTAGTAGCCTCTTCTTGTGAGTATTCCCCTCCCAGAAAGGGTACTAATAACTCAGCCCCTTCTGGGGGGGGTAAGAAAGCCTTCGCGTCGCTGAAAATGCCCAGGCTCTCTAGCTCCACCCGCGCCCCCTTCCTCGGCACCATGGTGAATTCCAGAGTCCAGTATTCTAGACTCGTTGCCATCCGCTGGAACAACCATTTGTCGTCTGGGTCTGCGTTATCTCCTTCCAACACACCCCTTTCTAAGACATCCTGGATCCCCTTTGACCACTCGAGGTCGGTCCTGATGGGATTCACCCACTTTATCCACCCTTCCACTTGGTCCAAGGCTATGGACGCGTAATCTTTGCTTTCCTTATGTGTAACCGGAAGCCCCTTTGTGAAATCCTGCCAACTTCGAATACAGTTCATCGTGTGATTAGTGAAACGCTGACGTTCTTGTAACAAAGCTCTCCCCTGTTGGGTTTTCTCGTGGGGCCCACGATCAAGGGATTTCTGTTCACTTTTGAAATACTCCTTTTGTGTTGATAAGTGCTTATCTTCTCCTTCCATGAACTCAATGCTGGCATCGGCAAGAATAATCGTAGTTTGAAAAGCCTTCAGAAGGAGACCTCCGAATTTGTGCATTGCCTTCCACCTTCTTCCCCAGGACCTGTTGGCTTGGATCCATAGCTTTGATGACTTCGTTCTTGAATTTGCCAAGGGTCTCATAAGCCCTTATAAAATCAATGAATTTCCTCTTAACCTATGTGGCAGGACATTATATTAAGTCAGTAGTCCAATCTATGGTCCAGGAGCAAGCAAACCTACATTCTCATTTTCATGTAGAGGCAAAGGCACTGCTCTATATTTTCCTTTGTCTGGCATTGTGGAGGAAGTCATAGTAGAGGAGATAACGGTAAAGGTGTTTATTGGAAGATTGTGTGCACGAAGGTGTAGTAGATAATAGTGATAGGGTGATTGCTGCTGGAAAGTCTCAGATGAGCATGGTATGAAGAGAGTGATGGGAATCGAAGACAGACGGCATGGACTCTCTCTTTTATATCTATGAAATAGGGAAGAAGGGAAAATCGAAGCCGCGTCCACGGTAGCGAAATAACGACTTGAACCTCTTTTACTGTCAAGTATCACGGGAAAAGGAATGCTCAGCTGCTAATCACTTTGCGGGTGCTGTAGGACAGCTGAAACTCAAGGGTTCTTTGCCTTACTGATCACGGGAGAAGTAATTCTCAAGGCCATATCACCATATGATAGCCAAGGTTAAATGTTCTGTCCTTGAAGGAAACACGGGAGCAGGAATGCTCATGTGCCCATAACTTTGCAAGCCCCATATAACAGAAAAGCCACTACTTCTCAAAGACAACACGGCCTGGGCGGCCCTTGCCGTGTCTTCCTCGAGAGAGCAGTGCATTATGGCCATCCTGAGGGGCATCCCTCCTTTGAAGAAGATATCTAGTTTTACCCCCTTAGTCTAAAGCTTCTTTGAGCATGCCTTAGAATGCAGGTAGCTGTTTTAGTCCATCCTGAGGTTTGGAATTTATATCACGTTTCCCTCTTTTCTCTGGCCCCCTTGCAATGGCCAGTCTTTATCCATGGTTTTCCTTTCATTGACAAATGTAGGAACTCACGAGGTCTCTAAGCCAAAAACATAGGATATTAGCTGGATTTCACAGTCACATGCCAAAGTGTTTTCAGGGAGGGGTCCTTTAGTTTTAGCAAAATGCTGCCAAAAGATGAGATGTCAACATGGTAATGATTAGTAATTTATGTTATTAACCCATTAGGATGAAACCACCTGGTCTATGAAAGTATGAAACTCTGGTGCGGCGGGTCTCTTCTTTTCAAGTAGAATTAGCTTGGCCTATGATAGAATCTGATGGAAGAGATCCCGTATAAGAGTAACACTGCCTAGGTGCCTCAATTTTGCTTTACAAGCCGAGTCCATATTGGTAGCAAAATCCATACTTCCTCTCACTCGCTGGTGAAGTCATGATTGATGTACTCCTCTAAACCCAAGAGGATTCGCATTAAAAATTGACGTTCTACAAAACTTTCCAGCTCAGGGATTCCTAATGGACCAGGGAGTATCATTCACTCGATTCTCTGGATTGTTGCTATGATTCTATACATAAGATACTAGATCTTGGAGACAGTTAGCCTAAGCAGTATGATAGCTACTAGTACTCTGCCACCGTACTTTCCAGAACAGGAAATTCCAAACTGAAAAGAATGATAGCACATTAACTTGCCCCAGTGCATGTACCAGAACCCGCTCCAGTGTGAATTATGGGCATGCCTCAGTCTTAATAGCATGCTGGACTTCAACTGGACTTCAAGCAGTAGGAGGAAAGCAATCAGCCAGGGAACCAAGTGCCTTCCTCGTGCTTAAATACCCCAAGGTCCTCGTACTTAACTGTCTTTCCTCTCCTCCCTCCTTCATACCACAACACAACTCCTGAACGCAACCAAGAACCAGCTAATCTCCCAAACCATTCTTGAACACAAAATAACCAAGTTACACCTTGACACTGAAAACTTCATAACAATGAAGGTGAGTTATCAATAGGCCCCTCACCCTTTGTTTGCACCTTCTGTGCACAGTATGACAGTCAACTAACTTAACTCCACACAGATCACTGCTGTCTCAGCAGCCTTCGCAGCCCTTGCGGCTGTGATGGGAACTGTGAATGCAGTTCCCATGCCACCCGGAAAGCCTACCTCCACGGGCCTCTCTGACCCCTTTCCTCTTGTGGACATCAACGGCACCCACACCATGGGATATATCATTCCTCTCGCTGCCAATGTCACTCGACCCCCTAGTCCTAGGTTTACCTTTACGCAGACCATCACGGTTACTGTCCCCATTCCCACCGACCTTTCTATGCCGTGGGAAGTAATGGGCAACAAGGGCGGCAACAAAACCAGGCCTATTTACGGGCCTCCAGGTATCCACCCGCCGCCTAAGGCCCAGCCGGAGTCGGCCACCGAGATCTCTCGCCTGAACCTTACCGACCACCACCCCAAGCCCAAGTGGAGCCCTCTCCCGAACCCGTTCACCAACCCCAAGCCTCAGCCCAAGCCTAAGGTTAACCCTTGGGTCGAATTTACTAAGACGGGCCCGATCCCCACCGCCAGGCCCACGCTTATCCACGAGCATGGCAGGCCTCTCTTTAACGGCTGGAGTGATTCAAAACCCAATCCTGGCAGCAACAAGCCCCCCCCCAGCCTCGTCCACGACCATAGTCCTAACCCCGAGCCCGAGGTAAGCGAGACTGGTCCGGTTACCACCACCGCTACCACTACTTCGTCACTTCTCCACGATCACGCCCCTCCTAACGTCAAGCCCTCTGGGGAATCTGTGACCCAGGACGACGACAAGCCTGTCCACAGCCTTCATCACGACCATCGGCCCAACCCGGAGGTTGCATTCACCGAGACGGCCCCCATCGCCACCGCCTCCACCACATCGACTCTCTTCCATGACCACAGTCCCCCTCA